GTTTATGAAAGCCTTAAATTTTTTTGAAAATATCCAATAGCTCTGCATGGCGGTTTTGAAGAAGAAATATCGAATATAATTTCGTCAAGAAATTTAAAAAAAATTAAACAATAAGAAATTTAATTAATTTGCTTAAGGCAAGCTGACACTATTTTTGATTATTTTTAAGTAATACTTACAATATTTATCATATATAATTTATATCATATATTATAGGGGAGGTAGGGGCTTGTTGTAACAGTTTTTAATTAATTTGGTGATCCACAGATGCTTAATTTGCTGTAACTATTGCTCAGGTAAAAAAATACCATAACTATTGTTTATTATTTCACTTTTTTATCGTAATGCAAACAGATATAGTGTCTCCTACAACACAATTTACATGTACCAACATCTTGCAAACTACACATTCCACCCATTGACATTGACAATAAAAGTCTTTATAAACTGTTTTGAGCTTATAGCTATTGTTTATAACCAATTTGTATATCTGTCACAACAGTCCTTATGGTGTGTGGACGATTGTGACATTTGTCCTTATGTGGTGTGGTTTGATTTTGTTACTAATTTATTGCATTTCCTCGCAGACAGATATTCAAATTACTTTAATAAATAATAAATTTACTTTACTCCCAGCTACCTGGTAAATTAACAAAATTATTGATGATTAAAAAAAGTGGCACAAACGTACCCAGTCCACCTTAGACAATTTAAAATTAGGCGAAAATAAAAACGCAAACTGTAATTTTACGACAGTATAATTTTATATATAAGCTGTCAAAAAGAGCGCAGGTGAACAATTTTGTAAACTGCGTCGGCCTCGGAGCAGTAGGTTTGACTCATTATGCAGGATGGAACAAAGAAAGATTTTAATATCGGGTAAGATCCTATTGTAAACGCCTGCTACTACTTGCCCATGTTACAAATAGCTCCTACCTTCTCTTATATTATTTGATATTAATAATATACCTAATGCGTTTCTTATTTCGCATTTATCGCTTTCCGTACAACAAGTATTATCGGCATTATCTTCTAAATATACTTCCCAATAATTGCAATGACCTTCGAGACGGTGAATCGCTTTATCGAGCACGTAGTGAAAGTGCTCGGTATTTGCTAATCGAACAAACATTTTTAGTTTACTTAGTACACTAAAATTTTGAATTATAGAATCATTTAGTGAAACTTAAAATTTTGAATGTTATGCCAATTTTTTTTTTGAATATTCATGTTACAATGACATGGTTGTTTTATGTTTGGGTTGACATTTTATAGCCTATTAGATTATACTAGTATTTGACAATATGTTATGAATATTTAGGTATATATATATGGGTGCGTTCGACTTGGACGCTTACGCGCTGTGAGCGCTCACGCTTATAAGCACGAATTTTTAGCGTTCGACTTGGCCGATAAGCGCTTAGAATCGATAACTAAATTCCGTTCGTTTTGGAAACTGTGAGCGTCAATAAGCATCAAAATGGCGGCAACTGGCGGTAACGGTAATTGTGTAAATTTTATTACTTTCTGGATCATTCAGCGGGATTATAAACAATTTAACAATTAATAAATAAATGAAATTTGGTTTGCTTATGCTTAATTCATATTAATATTAAAATTAAAATTTAAAATTATTTAAAATTAATTAATATTAATATTAATATTAAAAAATAAATGTGATATACAACTTGGCATTTTTGCGGGATTATAAAAAATTTAACAATTAATGAATAAATGAAATTTGGTTAGCTTATGCTTAATTAATAGTAATATTAAAATTAAAATTTAAAATTATTTAATATTAATAATATTAAAAAATAAAAATGATATACAACTTGGCATTTTTGCGGGATCATATAGAATTTAACAATTAATAAATAAATGAAATTTGGTCAGCTTATGCTTAATTAATAGTAATATTAAAATTGAAATTTAAAATAATTTAAAATTAATTAAATTTAAAATTAATTAATATCAATATTAATATTAAAAAATAATTGTGATCTACAGCTTGCCATTTTTGCGGAATTATAAAGAATTTGACAATTAATAAACAAATGAAATGACAGATAGTAAAAACAATTGACGCTCACGCTCACGCTGCCCTACCTCCGTGGCGTGAGCGCGTTTGAGCGCAAAATATGTGCTACGAGCATCTTACGATGGTGCTACGAGCGTACTTATGTGACACTCACAGCGCCAAGTCGAACGATGAAAGCGCGCTCACGGCGCGCTCACAGCGCGTAAGCGTCCAAGTCGAATGCACCCTATATATATATATATATATATATATATATATATATATATATATACATATGAACGAACATACTCGCATATTTTGTGTATATGTTTCAAATAATAAATAGTATATTGAATATTCAACCTCCAAAAATCGAGTAAATCCGAAATGTATTATGTTTCACTTTATCTAATTAAAATTATATTTTTCGTAATTTATTTATCACTTTTTTGTCGTTTTAACATTTCACAATTAAATTGACTTATCAAAGAGCGGGGCACAAATGTTCAGTTTCACTTCAAGTAATTCTACTGTTTGACTCATAGGTTCCCAAACATTTTTGTGAGTGGACCCCTTAAGATTTGCTATGAACTCCCATTTACGCGATATCGATTTTTATTTTTTTTTAAATTTATTTATTGTTTATTTTATCTATTAACTTAAAAAAAATAATACAAAAATAAAGTAAGCGAAAAGTTAATGTTCAATTAACATTTGGAAACAATTTTTTAAGGTATAATCTTACTTCTACCGGCTAATGATATCCAGTCTACATCTTTCTCTTTAGGAAATCACTATTTTACAACTATGTATATACAACTATCGTACTAAGAATGTGTTTTATTTTACTATTTTTCTGAAATTTGTTATCTGTTCCATTTTACGGGGAAAGTGGGGCAGTCAGGGAGCAAACAGATCTAATGTTTCATTTTAATTTTAAACAAATTTTACGGAAAGTAGCTACAATATTCAACCAATGCAAAATATAAATTTTATTCGCACATTTTTTACAAATATAACACTATATATAATCTTGATCTGGTGTTTCATCTGATATTATTCGTCAGCAGAGACTGAATAATTATCAATTTAATTTATTTTGTATAAAATTGTTCTTTTTAACTGAATTTATATTTATATTTACTATTTTTTATTGTTTACGCCTTTTACAGAATAAAGGTTCAGTTGGTTCTTTTTACCCCACCCACTTGAAAGCTAGTACAGTAATTATAAATAATACTATCTCTTCAATATAACTTAAAATTAGCAATACGTCTTATAAAACAACTTAATAGCATATACTTAAAAATTATATTAAGGTCTCGTAAACTAAATAGTATGGCTCACAACCAAAAAGATAATACTTTTGTTATAGATTTTCAAACGGTGATCACGACGATGATTGAATCTACTCTACTCTAAAAAAATATCGCTGTTAAAATATTCCCGACTTTAATGGATATATATATATATATATATATATATATATATATGTGTGTATGTGTGTGTGTGTGTGTGTGTAGAAATAAAAACAAAATAAAAATTAAATGGGAGTTTATTATACAATTAATATAATTGTATCCGGTTATTGAGGAGGATGAACAAAAGATTAGAAAGCACGTTACAAAATTTACACCGAAACTTTACTTCTTTACGACAAAAACTTCAAATAGATATTCATGTACACTAATTGTTGTAAAAAAGGTATATTAAAAACAGGAGTAGTGCTGGGACTTGGATCGATCTTGTTTGTTCAATCAACGGCGACGTTACATCTTCATGATCTTGAATTCATCAATTACGGTTCACCTAACTAAGTTTTTTTTTTTGGTCTTCTCGGAAAGGTGGCAGCTGAGAAGTGAATTTTATAATTAACCGAGTTGTTAATTACATTGCATTGAGCTTTTCAGTTATTGCTCCTTGCGGCTAAGCAAATAGTTGGCCTATGTCTAGATCTTGTAGACAATGGATACATCTTCGTGATCTTGATTTTATCAATTACGGTTCACATAACTAAGTTTTTCCATAACTAAGTTAAGGTGGCAGCTGAGAAGTAAATTACATAATTAACAGAGTTGTTAATTATATTGGTTTAAGCTCTTCAGTTATTGCTCCTTGCGGCTAAGCAAATAGTTGGTCTATGCCTAGATCTTGTAGACAATAGATACATCTTCGTGATCTTTCTTTCATCAATTACGGTTCAATAACTAAGTTGACTAAGATAACTAAGCTGAGAAGTAAATTACATAATTAACAGAGTTGTTAATTATATTGGTTCAAGCTCTTCAGTTATTGCTCCTTGCGGCTAAGCAAATAGTTGGTCTATGTCTAGATCTTGTAGACAATAGATACATCTTCGTGATCTTGCCTTCAATTACGGTTCAATAACTAAGTTTTTTTGGGTCTTCTCGGGAAGGTGGCAGCTGAGAAGTAAATTTCACAATTAACAGAGTTGTTAATTATATTGGATTGAGCTATTTAGTTATTGCTCCTTGCGGCTAAGCAAATAGTTGGTCTATGTCTAGATCTTGTAGACAATATATACATCTTCGTGATCTTGCTTTCATAAATTACGGTTCAATAACTAAGTTTTTTTGGTCTTCTCGGAAAGGTGGCAGCTGAGAAGTAAATTTCATAATTAACGGAGTTGTTAATTATATTGGATTGAGCTCTTCGGTTATTGCTCCTTGCGGCTAAGCAAATAGTTGGTCTATGCCTAGATCTTGTAGACAATATTTCGCAGATTCTATATAATCTACTAATCTTAGATGTTATATAAACTTAGATGTTATATAATCTTAGATGTTAAAAACAAGAATATGGTAGATTTTTCATAGTCGCCTGGATGTTTTAGACGGCTTTATGACATATGTTGTGCAAAATTATATACTATTATGTTAAATCCGGCGTTTTTGCACAACGGTGATGTTCATTTATGCCGGTCTTCACCTCCTACGGGGACTGGTTACTTATTGGGAGTTTATTCTTTTGTTTCTTGCAATCGAGCTTTTGCAATGGCAAGTCTCGATCTGGCAGCTCTGCGTAAATCCATTTCAGATTCCCGTCTTTTTTGTAGTACTTCGCGCGGAATGGAGCGGCGGGTTGGCTTCTTTGTCAGCACAGGAGCTTCGACTGGGACCGGTTGCCATCCTAACAGCCGTCTTTGAGCTAGTTTAGTAAACTTGCCCTCCACTTCCGCAATTTCAATAGATACCAGATCCCAAAAACCATGTAAATCATCGGAGCATAGGTGTGGGTCAGGTTTGCTACCGTCCTTCAAAATAGAGATTAGATTGCGGAACTGCGGTAATTTACTGCCCATTAACAGCTTAGTCTTTCCTAGAGATAACAATAAATAATTATCGATTAGTTTTGTTTCGTTATTTAGAAGAGAGTATAATTTTTATGCCAAGTGCAATATGATAGATGTCGATATGTTGCGTTATAATACATGCGTTATTATTACAATATTTATATTATTATGATATACAATCATAATTTTGTATCCTTTTTTTTAAATTCTGAAATGAAATTAAAAACTGACAATAATCTTAATCTTTGTCTAATAATTGCTTATAGAATGGGTAATTTTTAAATTATTCAAATCTTTTAAAAACTGATACAAAATTAATTTTTTTTTGTGAAAATAAAAATTAAAAAAAAAAAATATTCTCAAAACAAACTCACTTACCAGTACAAAAATCTTCGGAATATAATAAAAATCTAACTAAAATTCAATCTTCACCTAAAATTTGCTTGTAGAATGAGATATTTTTAAATAATTAAAAAAAATAAAAAAACAATATAAAATGAACGATATTCGTGAAATTAAAAATTGAAACAAAATAAAAATTTTAAAATTAAATATTTTCAAGATAAAAAAACTTTTCAATAGAAAAAATTGAATTAAAAAAAATCTAATTCTAATTTGAACTTTATCTAATAATTGCTTGTAGATTGGGGAATTTTTAAATAATTCAAAATGTCTAGAAACAAATTAAAAATTTAAAAAAATCTAAATCAATAGAAAATTTTTCTGAATTAAAACATATCTAATTATAATTTAAAATTTATCTAATAATTGCTCATAGAATGACTAATTTTTCAATAATTCGAAATTTATAAAAAAAAAAACAAAATAAATTAGAAATGTTAAAAAATTAACAAATTAAAAAAAGTCTCGAGACCAAATCACTTTTAATAAAATAATCTTGATTTAAAAAAAAAAATAATTAAATTTTTATTTAATAATTGATTATAGAATTGAGCAGGTTTTGAATAATTCAATGTTTTGGAAAAATAAAATCAAAATAAAAATTTTCATGCAATTAAAAATTTACAAAAAATTAAAAATAAAAATAAATCCAAAATCTCAAGACTATTCAATAGAAAATTGTCGGAATAAACAAAAATCTAAGTAAAATTTAATCTTCATCTAATAATTGCTTAAAATCCAATATTTCTAAAAATAATATAAATTTAAAAAAATTTAAAAAAATAAAAATTAAAAAAAATAAAAAATTAAACAAAAATCAAAATTTTCAAGATAAAATTATTTAATAGAGAAGTATTTGGAATTTAAAAATTTAAATTATGTTTTAGATTTTATCTATTAATTGATCATAGAACGGGTAAAATATTTTAGTATATTTAATATAATATATTTTATCTATTAATTATTTTTTAAAAAAATATTATAATATTGAATTAAAAGCAATTAGATGAAGTATATATTAGAAATATTTTTTATGAAATGAAAAGGTTTACAAATAAATTTAAAGTTTAAAAAAATTAATTATACTCAAGATAAAATAAATTACTTTTCAATGAAAAAACGACGAAATTCAAAAAAAAAAAAACTAATTAAAAATTAATATTTATTTATGAGTTGCTTATATAAGAGAAAGTTGCTTCAATTTATTTTAATTTAAATTGCATTTATTTTATTTAGTTTAGTTTATTTGAAGCAATTTTGACATTTGATTGAATACTATGCGCGTTCGTATTCAGCGCATATTTTATAAAAATCAATAAAAATAAATTAAAATTACCCAAAACGCTCATGATTTCTGAGATGTCGTCCTCGGTGCATTCTGGTTTAGGATCCTGGAGATAATCACTCCAATGTGTACTCAATCCTTCTAAGCGGTGAACCGCATTTTCCAATAAATAACGAAACTGCTCCGTATTCTCCATATGTACTGATTGATGATTGGTTATTAAAAAGCAAAAGAATTTAGAAAAGAATTTTAAAAAGCATGAATTTATTCAAAATAATTTAGAAAAGTTCGCGACGAATAATTTTGGTTGTGAAATCATGCTGTGCTAAACATGCCGATGCTCATTTGGGTCATTAAAACTCATGGCATCCTGATTTCGGTTTTATTGCGATTATAATCTAGTGTGTTGGGTGATTTGTTTTAGAACAATCCTTTGACATTTCGTCTCAGTGGGCTTTGAGCATTTTGACATTGAATGAAAATCTGACAGATAAAACTTTAAATTGAAATCTGAAAAATTTTCAAATACAAATGAGATTAATAAAATTTTACATTAACATTATAATCATCAGAAAGTATATTGTGTTCTCAATAGATAGTTAACAGTTGGTTTACAGTTATATATATATATATATATATATATATATATATGTATATTCAATGAAATTGAAAAATTTGCTTTTTAATGTTTATGAATCTAAAAGTTAAATATGTTAATAGTAGTTATAAACAATGTATTAAAAAAGTAGTCAACATTTTAAGATTATAACTGGAAATATGCGTTTGAAATATTTCAGGTATGCTTTGAATAAATCTTTCGTTTAATATTATTATACTGATTTAATATATATTAATCTAGAGAAAGAACTCTATTAAAGAAAAAAGTGGCAGAGACCTAGTACCAATAATAAATGGATGATAACAGAATAATAGACTTTGAGTAAGAATGTGCTAAATTTTTTGGCACTTTAAATTTAAGCGAACTGAAGTACACAATGAAATAATTTATTTATTTTAATTTGTATAATAATATATTTTATCGTACAAGTGCTTTTGCAGAAATCAATAACATTTTGCTTTTTAACTTCCCGTAGGGTTAATTTATAGTAATGGGCCGAAAATTGAAAATGAATATTTTTACATATCTTTATGTTCCATAGGTTTCTGAACATTTTGGCATACCTCAGCAAAAATGGATGCGTGTGTGTGTGTTTTGCGTGTTTGCAATTTTTGTCCACGTTTTCGGGCGCACGGATCCAATGATTTCAATGGTTCAAAAAACATTCGATTCCTATTGACAGGGAGATGTTCTGATTAGTTTTCGGCAAAGGCAGGTCCAGCCGTTACGGAGATGCGAAGCAAAGAGTGCAGTCAATAGAAAGCGAGTTTTTGAGAGAATGGAATTTTCGATTTGAATGATCTTAAAACATTCGATTTTTAATAATTATTGGGAAAAGTGGTGATTTGTTTTTGGAAAACGCAGGTCCACCCATTTCGATGATACAAAGCTAAATGTACAAAAAATGGCAGTTTTTGAGAAAACTAAGCATCCGATTTAAATGATTCAAAAAACTTTCTTGTGTTGACAAAACAATTGCAAACAAAAACTAGTTTTTTATATTTTATCGAAAATAATTCAGATTTTATTTTTAATTCTGGCTAAAGTTCACTTATATACTTTAAATATATAATTTTAACTTTGTAATTTAGTTTATATAATTCTTATAAATATTAGACAATGTTACAGTATTTAAAATAACCTATTTAAAAACATTTAATATTCTTCCATCATTTTTTTACGATACGGGAAGTTTCTGCAATTTGCCTCAAGGTACGATGCCATACACTAGTTTATTTATTATAGACATCAGAAAATACAAATTTCTATAAGCATATGTGATCCATAAATATGTAGGGTCTTGAGGTAATGCCCCTGTAGATAATATTTGCTTGTAAAATAAACAATGCTTAAACTGAGTTAGCAGGTCTTCTGGTCATTTTTTGGAGCCTTCTAGTTGGCGAATATCCTTATATTAATTGCATTACTGGATTTTGGTATGCTTAAATCTATATGAATAATATCGCTTGATATATATCAAGATGCATTAACTACTGCTCGTAAAATTTTATTTTGTGTTCTTTGGATTATTTTCACATTAGACGTGCTTGCACATCCCCATTGTTGTATGCATATGTGAATTGTTACTGACTTTATAGCTTATCAATTTATTGTTGTATAACATTTTAGATTTACTTCCTATCAGCCAGTAGAGGCGACTAAATTTTTGTTAATGTTTTTTTATTTGATATGTATATTCCACGTTAGTTTGTTGTCCAGATGTAGTCTAGATATTTAACATTGAAGTTGTTATTTCTACAGTTCACAGAAAGATTACAGAAAGGCAGTAGGCATCGATAGCATACATATAAAATCTTTGTTTCATATATATTTTGAATATACCGTATGACAACGATTGCAGAAACATTAAAATGGCTATAACCATAATTTTTGTGTCGGCTAAAATTCTTGCTCGTTTTTTCGAGCATTATCGTAGAGATCAAAAATATTTTGAATTTATTTCGAGTATAAAAAACACTTTGCGTAAGAAGACAAAGCATATTGGGCATGTTCAAAAATTCGCATGAATACAGGGAACGATGTCGTTTTTTTGCTCTCGTCGTTCGCTCTCTTTATATTTTATGTGCGCATTGAACTGAATGCATAATACCGCTGGAAAAATGATCGCGGCGGAACACGATCTACCGTCCCGGGGGTGGTTTTGTATGATTGCAAAATACGAAAACGCGATTGTCTTCGCGCCGCCAAGATTGCGGCTAATTCCTTCCACAACGGGAGCAGACGTAAAACAATAAAGACAAAACGCGCTATGATTTTTATTGAATTTCCTGTGTTATGAGAATACTAATATCGTTGCTTTTTCTCCATTCTTCTTTCGTTTGACTGTGTGCCCGGTGATCACTTTCCATATTGTTTGTTTCGTGCTGGTGGAAGTACCGAATGTGTTTGAATTTATGTTGTGGCACTAATGGAATGTTTGTTTAAAGACGATGTCGTTTTATGGATTATGTAAATGACTGGCATTTTTATTTTTATATTTACTCTATTTTTCACCGATTATACGCATGAAAATAAACGGGTGGTGCATAGCTATACGATATCGGCAGCATACTGATTTTATGGTGATTCGTAATAATTATAAATTTTACACCTTTCTTAGACGAGATGGTATGGACATCCAACATTCATTTTGTTTTTCTGTGAAAGATTTTTTCAATATACATTCGTAACTATGCTTCTTCGCTTGTAGCCATTTAGGCACATCTGGTTTTTCACCACGTGGACACAAAGCACTAATGTTTTTTTTAAAGATATTTTTTATATAAGTTTTCATTACAATTTATGTTTTTACGTATTTTGTTTTTGCATTGTTATTTTTATCTTATTTAATTATTTTCAATAATCACAATTTAATATAATACTTTAAGAGGAATAATTAGAAGAATAAAGTTGTTTCTATTTTCTTGAATAACAATAAGGATAATAATAATAATTTCTGAAAAGGGAGATCTCCCATATCTTCGAAACATAGGCAACTTTTAAAAATAGAACATTAAAGATAATATTTTTTTGAAAAACCTTACTTTTTTCAAATAAAATGTATATAGGGTAGGGCAGGACACAAAGGTCCAATTTGACTTTAAGTAATTATACTGAAACTCTCAACTGAACTACATTCCAATACGTAAGACGTATCAAACAAGCAACTATCGTAATGTTCAGAACAATTTATAATCATAGAAAAACATTTTTTGAAAATTTATTATCTGTATCTGTTTACCCCATAGGCGGGGTAAAATGAGACAGCCATTTGGCAAACCTGTTCAATGTCGCAGTTTTATTTTTAAAGGAATTTTAGGAAATAACATCTACAATGCAAAATATAAATACCATGGACACACTTTTTACAAAGTTAACACTGTATATATTCTTGATCTAGTAAAGTGCCAGAAATATTCTTCTTTATCAGCAGAGTTAAATGATAATTAATTTAATTTATTTCTTGTAAAATAGCTATTGTTACCCAAATTAACATTTTTATTACTATTTTTTTGTTTACGCCTTTGCCAGGGTAAAGGTTCAGTTGGTTCTTTTTACTCCATCTACATTTAAACTATTATAAAAAAACATCTGTTGAATCTAACTTAAAATAAACTATACATCTTATAAAACAATTAAATAACGTAAACTTAAAATTATATTAAGGTCTCGTGAACTAAGCAACAGTCCTCATGACAGAGATAAAATACTTTTGTTATAAATTTTCAAACATTCACGTTTTTCTCCCGAAAACAACGTCGTTAGACTCAATGTGATAGCTGATTATACATCATTTTACCTCTACTTTTAGATATTAGTGTTAAAAATTCCAAACTTTAGTTATTTTTGAGATAATGGTGGTATGGTGAGATTACCTCTACTTTTAGATATTACTGTTGAAAATTCCTAACTTTAGTTATTTTTGAGATAATGGTGGTTAACCTTATTAACCGCGGACCGCATGTATGTATGTCTGTAATTAGATTAATTGCTAATTCTTTATTAACTTCCAGTAAGGCAAGTTATAGTAATCGCAAAAAAATCGAAAATGAAAATTTTTATATATCTTTACGTTTCAAAGGTTTCTGAATATTTTGGCATACCTTAGAAAAAATGAATGTATGTGTGTGTGTGTGCGTGTATGTATGTATGTGCGGATACAAATTTTCGACGACGATTTCGGGAACACCGATCAATCGATTCGAATAATTCAAAAAACATTCGGTTTGTATTGATAAGGAGACTTGCTGATTAGTTTTTGGCGAAGACAGGTCTAGCCTTTTCGAAGATACGGGGCAAAAAGTGCCAAAAATGGTAACTCAAAAATCTATTTTTTTTTAAGTGAAATTTTTTCAAAAATGTTAATCGGTTTTTAAAAAAATAATAATTTTTGGTACGGGAAGTACCAGCAATTTGCCTTAAGGCACGATGCAATGCGCCCCACTAGTTTATTACACGATTGGAATCTTTTATTAAGTAGTTAATTGTCATTTCATATACGAAGCCCGTATAATTAATTTTTATGAGTTTTTTCTATTCCTCACAAAAAATTGTTTCATAATCGTCTTTATTTTATT